AATTAGATTTTCCAGGGTTCATTTCTGGTATGCAAATAAAAGAAAAAAAGTGGTTATTTAAGCTGAAAGTGCAGGTCACACATTTTTTCTCCTTTCAAGTATCACATATGTAATAAAAATATGGAAGAGCAAGGCTAGCTTGCAAAGTAATCTGTAGGCACATGGTCACAGTTCAGCATTGAAGAGAAGGCCTTCTGTAAAGAAGTGGCAGTTAACACACACACACATACATATATATATATATATATATATATATATATATATCATATATATATATATATATATATATATATATATATATATATATATCATGAAATGGACAGTCCAACAATTTTTTAAGACATTTTATGTTTATACATTCTTTTTATAGATACAAATATTTTAATTAAATGTTCTGTTTATAATAAACAGTATTAATATTGATTAGCCTGAATGTCTGAGAAATTTTCATAGAAATTCAGAGGACGATATTTTTTAAAAAAAATTTCTCGGACATTCAGGCTGGTAAATGTCATTAAATGTTTATTTTAAATCGAGCATTTTCTTAAATATTTGTATCTATTTTTCTACAAATAAACATGTCTCTTAAATATTTTGAATATATATATATATAATATATATATATATATATATATATATATATATGCTCTTGAAAAATTTATATTGGTTGAGCTATCAGTGGAGGAAGTGTGAGTTTGTAAACAGTGACTATTACTGCCAATAATACTAAACTCTTCAGTAAAACAAATTGAGTTCAGTCACTCACTGTATGTTTATCTAAATATGTTGAAATTCACCTTCATCCCTGCCGTGCACCAATGGCTTAGGGGTAGAATCTCCAACTTATGCCAATTCAACCAGGTTTCAATCATAGCTAGAGGAATCAAGACATCTAGCTACACTGATGAGCTGTGATACAGTGAAATAGTCTGTGGATGACTATATATATATATATATATATATATATCTCATTGTGGCTAGATGTCCGATTGCTTCAAGCTGGGATTGAAACTCAACCGATTTGACATTAGTCAGAGAGCCTTACTTTTAGGCTGTCAGCACATGGCAGAGAAAGGGAATTTTTAATGCATTATATATGTGATGTATAAATGCCATACCAGCAACCATAGTGCTCAATTCTTATGAAGAACGAAGCATTAAAACAGTAGCAGCCATTAAAAATTATCTTTTCCCCTATAGTGCTCAATTGGCGAATGACATGTATGTATATGTGCTGTCTGTGGACACTGAAGTCAACACCCAGTGGCGACATTGTGTTTAATACTTATACACAATTGTCAGTCCATATGCCTTGTGTTTTTGTTCAACTATTTATATATACAAGTCAGTGATGTATTGTGGGTAGTCTAATGGTTATTGCTATGTTTTGAATTATTCTAAGGGCCATTGGGTGGAAATAATTGTGGATCTGGTGCAACAGGCTAACATTCTTGGCTGACATGAAGTGGAAAGACAATATTGAATCAATTGCTATGTCAGCTGCTAAGAAATTTAGCTCACTGTATCATACTAGAAAATTTTTCTCTTGAATCTATCTTGCATATCTATAAATCTACGAATAGCCCATACTTAAAATATTGCTGTTCTGGTGCTCCTGCCATATACCTAGAGATCCTTGATAAAATCCAAAAAAGAATCAGCAATATTATTGGTCTTAATCTGGCATCTCAGCTTCAGTCACTTTCCCCACCACCATAAGGTTGCTTCTTTCTGTGCCTTTTCTATAAATACTTTCATGGTAATTGTTCAGATGGGTTCTTCAGTATGCTACCTAGACTTTATGAATTTAAGCAAAGTACTAGATTGGTGATGAGGTCTCATCAATTTACACTTGAGTTGGCTAGATGTAACCGTAAGTTCTATGCTAACAGTTTCTTTTCTCACACTTCTCAATTGCAGAATTCTTCTGGCTCTATGCTTCTCAGCTAACTTTAATCTGCAAGAATTTAAATGCAATGTCAATCACTTTCTACTGTTGTCCTCATTGCTCTTCTGTTCTTATTCCTGAGTAAAGTTTGTCCTTTCTAATTCTTCCACACCCAGTAACATCATGTCGCAGTGGCTTTATTGTCTTGCTTCTGGGGGAAAAAAATTGTCCTGCATACAGATGGCACCAAAAATTATTGAATTCCCTTGACATTTCCTTTTGAGAATATCTTCAGATATCAAGAGTTTACATTGACGCTACCCCTTAAGTGAAATGGTAAGGTACAAACTGGTTGGAGGGTTCCTTGGAACTGGACTTAGTCAGTTTGTGCTTTTGAAAGAGAGGTTGAGAAGCAGTTAAATTTCTGAAGGGAGTACAAGTATGAGGCACACAGTGAAGAGTGAAAACATTCTTCAGCCGTAATGATCTGCTTAACCCTTATGACAAGATGAACAACATAGCTCCAATGATAGAGCAATCAGTATATATGTGAAAACAACCAGCAAGTTTTTAAGAGATGGCAACCATTTCAAAGAGCTTACATTATATGAATGCTTTTGATACAAAGACTGTAAAGCCACAACTATGCTGCACCCAATGAGGATCAACAATACAATTTATGTCCAAATTTATGTGATGAGGAGTTATTATTTACCTTATTTAGAATCTGACTAACATCCTCATCTTTGTTGCTATTACCACAATATGCTTGCCATTGTCCCCTTTGTCCTTATTCAGATGTGTTCAATCCCTGTGTAGAATAGACCCAGACTGTGGAAATTCTAATAACCGAGTTATCTGACATGAGATTTTATGATTATTTTCATTATTTGGACAGGACCCAAAGAGTTTTGAGTTCAATACCAGGCTACAGCAGTGGTGAACCAAAATTTGGACAGTTGAGTTAAAAGGAAATACCAGACACCTGAAAGTGACATGGCATGTGGAACAAGAACAATCTACCCTGGTGGATGAGATAAAGTGTTTAGTTCAAAATTCCAATCACCTGAAGAAGGCTGGAGTGTACAACAGCCAAAACATTGTGAATATGGTAATGAAGATAATTCCAATAATGTAAGTAATATATATATACATATTATATATACACACACACAAAAGTAAATAACAGCCAAATAAAGGATAATCTTCGATTAAATAAAGTGTTCAATTCAAAATTCTGTGTAGGCTGCCTGGATTCATAGACACCTGAAGAAGACTGGAATGCACAATGGTCAAAACATTGTGATAAAGATAAAGATGAGGACATTAGTTTGACTGTAAATATACATTGTATATTTACAAGACTGATTGCTACCAAAAAGGTCAGGAAATATGAGCAGGAATGACATGTAGTAAGGACTTTTGCTGCTACTTTTTTGAGCAGTAAACTTTTAGTGCAGCTTTTCTTTTTTCAAATCCATTTGCATCAGTAAAATATATGCAAATATATATATATATATATATATATATATATATATATATATATACAAACACACAATAAAACTATAGATGTGAGACATTGTGACAGTCACATTTCTCTGGAACTCAAAACTTGAAAATCATAGAACTATGAAACTGGTAAAGTTACTATAAATAAATAAATATTCTTAAAAACTGGTTGCATTTTCAACCTCTTTTTCCTATATATATTGTTACATATTGTACCTATGTACACTAATGGGTTGTCCCAATCCTCATAAATATGTTGTAAGTGGGGATAATATGGTGTCTAAGTAGTCCACCACTAGCAGTGGTTTACCTATTTCATGTCACTGGTGAGCATTGTATTTTGTTGATGTTATAAAGATTATCATTTTATTTCAACCTCTGTTTTGGTTATTCCTCATTCAGTAACTCTTTTTAGGTTATAACAACATACATACACACACATTTTATTTATTTATTTATATATATATATATATATATATATATATATCCTCACTGGTACCACAACTATGAGTTTATTAATGTACAATGTAATCGCCAGATGCAGATTAAAAACTGATTGTTGGGGATAGCCTTTTTTCCATCAGAGAGAGAGAGAGAGAGAGAAGAGAGAAAAACTGTGTGTATGTGTGTATATATATATATATATATATATATATATATTATATATAAATTTACGGTAAATTACATACATGCATGGACACTTCTAAGTTACAAATAAAAGCAGCTACTGCTTTTGTCAGAGAGAGTTTTTTCCCAACAGTCAGCTCTGACTTAACATTCTTGCTTGTTTGTATATTATTGTATTACCGATTTTCGTTAATATATTTTTTAACTCAAATTCACTCGTGTCTTTATTCTGGCCCCAACAAGGAAACCACACACACACACACATATATATATATATATATATATATATATATATATATATATATATAAATCTATTTGAGTAGCTCATTTTTACTGATACAAATTTATCAAAAGATAAAAAAAAGATGCATTACAAACTAACACATGACAACATATTTGAAACTAAAACACAACATGGTGCATAAAATAAATTTAACTAAATGCATTAAAAAAAAAAAAAAAAAAGCCTTTGGTAATGGCTTGTGAAAGCTGAAAGCACTCAAATTTTTGGCTAATAATTATATAACCACAATGTGGGTGTCAAGCAACTTGTCAAAAAGGAAAATATTTAATTAAAAACAAAATAATTAAGTAAACTTTGTCATCTTAAAAGTTATGCCAAAATAAAAAGCTGGTAAATTTAAGAAAAGCAAATAAAAAACAATTTAAGAAGAAAGAAATTAAGAAAAGTTTAAGCTTACTCCTACCTCTCATAATTCCTGACATTGGAACAGAAAAAAAAAAAAATCCACAGGTAGAGAAAAACTTCTAGAGTGAACCAATCAAGTTCCAACTCTTTTACACTTGTTTATTTCCATATCACTGAGTGTTTGATAATCCATTTTTATTACTGTTTTTCAGATTCCAACAACCGAAGAAAAAGGTAAAAGCAGATATGTCCACTATTTGTAAAATCCTCCATGTGTAAAGTCTTTAAAAAGATCTTTCCTCAAATATATACTTCTAAGTAATCTTTCTAAACAACACTGGAGCATGTGAATGCGTGGAGAGAGAGAAAGAAAAAAAAGTCTCCAATCTCAAGAAAGTAGACTTGACATTAAAGCTCCCCCTGATGAGCAACATACAATAGCTGTCAGTCATGGGTCATCTCCCCCTTCCTATGGAAACAGGCATACCACAGCTCTTACTGTCTAAGCCAAGATAAAGAAAAAAGAAAATAAATTAACAAAAAAAGTCAGTCAATCTATTTGATAGTTAGAAAGTAATATGTGGACAGACACACATACATATTTTTATTATTATCTTGGAGGGGGTGACATGAAGAGAGGAAATAGTTTTACTCAAGGGCAGCTGAAGTTTGAACAAGGAAGGTCAGAGGATATGTTATCTAGCCAAGGGAAAGAGCCCAGAACTGTGTCTGAAGACAAACTTCCTGTTTGCTGTAAGAGTCAGCCATTTTCAATAGGGAGAGCAAGGAGAGTGTGTAGGGACAGGGGAGGAGAGCAACCATGAGAATGTTTTTATCTCCAAATCAAACAAAAAGGCTAAACTTTCAGGTGTAAGTTAAAGAGACAGGTAGACATTAAAAACCAGTTGGCAGATAGGCTCCTCAGCTCATTAGAGAAAGCCCCATATGAAAAACAAATGTTATTTGTAAAGAAAACAAAGATGTCATCTCCCTAACACCTACCACCTGAAGCTGGCATTAAAAAACAACAGAACTTGTTTTTGTTTTATTTTTGGACTTGTTGATGGCAAAGGAAAAATATCTTACAAGATCCAATTTCAGCCGATTACAATCCCCCCCACCCAGCCACCTGAAGGGATGGTGGGACTTTTAAAAGATGACAGATTTCAATGAACAAATAAATTACCCATTATACAGTGTGTAATCTGTTACGTAGCAGGGTAAACTGAACTCTATAGCCTTGGATGAAAGTCAGCTGAGGAGAAGAACTGAGACTTTGAATTTAAAACTGTAGAGAAGGCAACAGGAAACCATTACACTGTCTTTCCCAGAGTCATCAGTGACTGAAAACTGGCTCTTTACCAGATGCTGGTCTAGTGAGGAGGGTAAGTGGAACCCAACAACAAAAAACAAAGGCTGTTAAGGGACCCCAACTATGGGTTAAATAGCCTCACCAATCTGCAATTGGTGAGTATGACCATGTCTTCAGAAGTGTAGCCAATCAGGGTGGGGTTCCACCAAGAAGGGTGAGTAGGCCTTGGATCTGAAATTGGAATTACTTTCAATTTTAGTTGAACTTCAGTAAAATTTTCTCTTAATTACAGTCGATGAGACAATAGCGTAATGTTTGTTTGTGAATTTGGTGACATAGTAATGCGAGTTCAATCACTGGGCCCAGTGGAAACAATAATAAAATAAAAAGTAAAGATATCCTTAGACATAGATAGTGGAATGAGAACTGTCTACACTTGTTTATTAAATAAAGGGTTTAGGTTAAAATTTCCTTCAGATTACCCAGATTGAAATACACCTGATGAAGGCTGAAAGGCACAACAGCCGGAACATTATGACAAAGATGATGACAATAGTCCAAATATAAATAGCGTAAATAATGAGAACTCCTCATCTTAGAAACTTTTCTTTACCGATCAGTTTCGTCCTCTGATGGACTTTATGAAGGCAAATGTAAGGATTATATTTTGCAGCATGTTTTTATAAACAGAAGTAAAAACTATTAAGGTTTTCAAAATTTTTAAAATTTAAGAATGCTTAAAAATATTCTTAAAGCTGTGAAAGTCAAGGTAAAGACTATAGAGAATATAAAACAATGTAATTTAATGCTGAATAAATGAAAGTGAGTAAATGTTATTGTTGAATCCTTTATTTTCTTATAAACTGAGCAGATATGATAATTTTGAGGAATCTATGATGAGAAGAACTTTGCTTAAAGGCATCATTTAGACTTTGGCACATTGGAACTAATGATGGTTTCCCTCTGCTGAGGGAGGGATGCAGGTTTCAATACTTGTTGTAAAGTAGTTTTCACAGTGGAGGCTGGTATTTCACTAAGTCATCCTAAATTAGGTTCGACATACAAAACGTTAGGAACTTGCAATAATAGTTAATGACGCAGCAATCTAGTTGTGATGGTTGATACTTCGATGTCCGACATCAACTGACTCACTCAATTCCACTGAGCCCAACTGGCGACTGCTGCTACTACTACTTATTATATGTTGGAGAGTCTATTACAATAGAATCGGTAATGTTCCGGTATAACAATACTGATGCAGGGCTCATATTTTTCTTTAATTTCTCAAATATTCAGGCCAGTAGATAAAAATAAATAAATCTACTGTTTAATAAAGAAACAGGAAATCTACTCAAATATGGGCATTCACTAAAAATTAATGTTTAAGCAATAAATGAAAATATGTTGGATATGTGTAAATATAGATATGTGGTTTGTAACACCCTATTTATCATCTCTCAGTTGCATCTGTCTTTGGGCAGAATGCGCTCAGGGGTGACTATCAAAGGACAGAGTCGCAAATGAGGAAAATTATACTGAGAGGTGCCCAGCCCTGGGGAACAGTTGCCCGAGGCTGCGTCCTTTCATTGCAGCAGGGAGAGGAATCAGTGCTTGGACTGAGGCGAGCGCAACTGACAGTTATGAGGCCTGCAGGCAAATTTTGTTTCTAGCCTGGGTGTATGTGCTGAGGCTCCGCATATTAAACTGACCTTGTGCCACAACCTGATCTTGTGGGAGGGGTTCATTAAGTAAAAAATATGTCGGATTAATAAACAAAAAATCCAATCCTAAAAATTGTCTTTGTTTATGTTCAGACATGAACAGAAATGCATATTTCAAGAATCGGGGAAAGTTCTGTGTTCAAAAGCACTATTTGGGCTTTGCTTGACCAGAAGGTTCTTCATGGCTGAGAGGTTAAAGCATATCAGAACTAATGACAATTTTCACTGTGGCGAATACAGGTTCAAATCCTGCCAGAGGACGCATCTTTTTTTTTTTTAATAAGATTTCTCAATTATTCAGTCTGGTAGATGGAAATAAATATACTGGTTAATAAATAATGGGAGAATTCTACTCAAATACAGGTATCCGCTAAAGATAATGTTTAAAGTGATAAAAATCTGTTGAATAATAAAGAAAAAAAATCCATGAGAAAATTATATTTATTTTATATTAATTTAATTGTTATTACGGCCCAACACTCTTTTCAGCCTTGACAGACTTCAAATGCATTTACACAGCCTTATGGGTGATGAATTATTTTCCCCCTTACAGATGAAAACTTGCTTGCTTTTCGCTTCTATATCACTATTTCCATGGAAAAAATTCTGACACGATATATACATTAATGCTCCCATTTCCCATCTTTACAGCTAAAACCTGCCAATACCACATGCCCTTCATGTTCCTTTGGACAGTTTCTCTCTGAGAATCAAGACTTTGTCGAACACTCCTGAAAGGAAGTTTTCCCTGATCACTACAATGAACCTCTTCAAGTCTAGGGTCAACTGTTATCTATCCTTATAGAGTAATTGACAGAAATGCCCAACAACCAATTGATAAAGTTTCCAATAAACAAATTAAAGAAAACAGGATAAAAAATTATATGGAGCAATTGATTATATATATATATATATATATATAAAAAGACATGTCTCATTGAATAATTTAGACAAGTTTTGTCTACTTATTTTCAATAGGACAAGCTTCTTAGTATCCTTATTAAAGAGAGAAAATTACCAAGTTGATATATATTCATTTATTCCAAGTACTTTCGACATTAGCACAATGTCATCATCAGGGTATTATTTTTTTTTCTAGGATAAAATTGTTGTGCTCATCTGAAAGTTAAATTTTTTTTAACTGAAGTGAAAAATTATAAGTTTATGTATATGCATGGTTTAAATTTCCCCCATTTGAAACCTCAGGGGAGGTAACTATGTTTGAAATGACCATATGATTTACCCCCTACCCGGCAAAACAAACTATTAATTAAAACCTTGATATTTTAAAGTATCCACTGTCAACATTTTAAAATATCTGTGCAGTATTTATAATTAATTTTATTAAGGGTTTATATTTTCATTATATACACACACACACACACACATACATAAACAATGGTTAAACAGCTGTTTGTCAGAGTTAAATTAGACCAGTAAATGGTTGTGTTAAAAAATGCTAGATACACACACACACACAAAAAAAAAAATACTGAATATAGGGAGGTTTTAAATGTTAAAAAAATAAAAAGATTAATCACTTACAGCACAATTGTCACAGCCACTGAGGTTTCTTCAGGTGGTATGGTGCACACACACATTATATATATATAATATATATATATATATATATATATATATATATATATAATATAATATATATATATATAATATATATATATATATATATATATATATATATATATATATATATATATAATATATATATATAATACACACACACACACACACACACTGGACACTCCCATCATTTTTGAAGTATGAGGGTTAAGCAGCTCAGTTCTTAGAACCAACCACACTTTTTGGGAAGAGCTGAATACAGAGAACTGGTTCGCATTATTCCACAAGGTCCCCAAATGACCCTCCACAGGTTTAGAAATCAGAGTTATCCTCCTCTTAGACCAGTTGCGACCCAAGGCTATAGGGCCCAGGCTGTCTTGCTAGTCAACCCATAGATGAAGGGGGAGAGAGAAGAGATGATTCATACCTTTCCCAAGGGTATTTGCATGTAAGTAAATGTAATGAACTTGACTGGAATTTGAACATGGCTCTCTGATTCCTCAATCCAAGCTGCAATCCATTAATATACACACACAGAGAGGACAAAAAAAAAGGCAAAGAAAGCAATAGTAAAAATTCACAAAGTAAGAATGGTGTTAATACACAAAAGGGATACAGGTAAGAGATCTCAGCATTCTAGCTGATGAGCAATATGGTCTATCTTATTGGCTAAGAAGAAATCCCAAATTGGGGAGGGAGGGTGTTTTTGCAGTCATTCCAACCAAGATGAGAACCAAACATTCTACATATCTTTATAATATACACTGCTTTCTCCCTCCTTGTACACAGTTACAGCAACCTGATTCAGTAATCCTCTACATTGAGAGGCTCTTGTGCCTTGTATTGAATGACCAATAATATTAGAAAGAAAGAGAAAAAAAAACACATGAAAAATGATGAAAAAAAAGAAAAAGAAACAAAAAATAGACAAAAGGAAAAGAAAAAAATTCATGAAGAAATAAGATAGGAAAAAAAAGAAAAAAGAAAAGAAAGAAAAAATAAAGACAGAAAAAGGAAAAGAAAAAAAAAAAAATTTCTCCAAGGAAAAGAAGAAAAGAAAAGAAAGATCCCTAAAATCTTTTAAAAGAAGGAAAAAGAAAAAAGAAAAAAGAAAGAAAAGAAAGAAAGAAGAAAAAGAAAAAAGAAGAAAAAGAAAAAAAAAAGAAGGAAAAGAAAAAGAAGAAAAGAAGAAAAAAGAAAAAGAAGAAAAGAAAAAAAAGAGAAGAAAAAATAAACGAAAAAAAAGAAAAGAAAAAAGAAAAAAGAAAAAGAGAAGAAAAAAAAAGGAATGAAAAGAGAAAGAAAAAAAAAAATAGAGAAGAAAAGAAAAAAAGAAAAGAAAAAAAAAAAAAAAAAAAAAGAAAAAAGAAGAAAAGAAGAGAAAAGAAAAGAAAAAAAAAAGAGAAAAAAAAAGAAAAAAAAAGAAGAAAAAAGAAAAAAGAAGAGAAGAAAAAAAAAAAAAAAAAATAAAAAAAAAAAGAAAGAAAAAGAAGAAGAAAAAAGAAGAACAGAAGAAAAAGAAGAGAAAAGAAGAAGAATCCCCTATTTTTTAATGAGAAGAAATCTGTTCAGAAAAAGAAGAAAAAAGAGAAGAAGAAAATGAAGAGAAGAAAAAAAAAGAAGAAAATGAACTTTCTTCTCACTGATTCACAAATGCAGCTGCACCAATGACCATCATGCTACCTGCACATCCATCCACACATACACAGGATATGATGATAAGTGAATGACTAAAGACTCACCATATAGTTATCTCCTAATCTATAAATTGATCTTTCCCCATTGATTTTTGGATTTACATTTATTTTTGTAACACAGAATTACACAAAAACCATTCAATCAATTTCAACAGGGGAGATAATATATTCATATTGACCTGAACCCTGGCTATTTGAGTCGTTATATAATACCATCCTCACTAGTCTTACTATTAGAAATGTTTATCTAATATCACTTATGCCATATTCTGATGAATTAAATATATTAACATCTCTGCAATGTCAATCGTTATCTCCTTAATTCCTCTTTAATTGTTCTCACTACTTAATAATGGTTTCTTTCTCAAATGTTCTTTCACTAAGTAACCACTTACATCTTAGTGGCTTTATTGCCTTGCTTGGAATGAAATGATTAAAAAAATATTCACTGTTACCTTGGCTATTTGAAGCCTTACAAAATGCCATCAATGTTTTTGTCAGTTATCATTAGAAATTGCCATAGATGACTACTATTTCCTTATTTTGATAAATAAAATTAAGTTTATTATTGCATTCACTATACTGGGTGTAACAGCATAATTGCCCACATTGTGTAACGGCATGCGTTAATTGTCCATCCCACAAAATGTTTAATATCTGAGAGAGAAAAAAAACAAACAAAAAAACACTAATTGAGTTTGTTTTTCCCAGCTTTTCAGATAAGGCATCAAGAATCACTGGAAAAACACTTTGAGTTATTCAGCTAGAAAGAGAACAGGTTAAAATCATTTAACTATGTCTTTCCAGCTGAGCAATGGTGAGAGGAAAAAGATCATTCTGGACTTCAGTAATGGTACCAACATTCATACTCTGGCTTCTATGTTCAAAGTCCATTCAAGAACCATCAAGAGAATGGTGAATAAGTTTAAAAAAAAAAAAAGAAGGAACAATAGAGAAGAAAACTGAATTAGGAGGTCACAACAGGAAGAGGGGTCATCATTTCATCTTAGAACGAAATACATTCTTATTGTTCAAAGTAGAGTCCAATAGTGCTATAAAATATCAAATAGTCAGGCAAGTTATTTTTTCCCCCATTTCAAAAATGCCTGATAATTTTATGACATAATTCAATTTCAAATAAATGTCCTCTGACTAAGTGATGTTTTATATATTTTTTTTGCTAAATTATATTTAAATTATTTTTTTTGGGATTAATTGATGTTTTTTATTTTGGAATAATATGAGGTAATGGAATTAAGTTTTTTGACCATTTTAAGTAACCTTTAAAATTTTTTTTTTTTTTTACATTTTTGTAGCCATATATCTTGGCTTGGGAAGTTAGTAATCCTTTAAGAAATGGAGATATTGGAAAACATTTGGGGTGCAGATTTATATTTTGATAAGATTCAATAGTAGCACTCTCAAGAATTTTCCTTCTAAGTAAGTTACCTTCTCTTTTACTAAGTGTGGCATTCTTTAGAGCAAAGTTATAGTTGAATTTATTGCTATGTATAACTAATGCATTTGATAAATTATTGTGTATAAGATCCCTTTTATGTTCAAAGATACAGTTTTTTTTTTAAATTTCTACCATTCCCAATAATGTCATGAGTATTATATTTGAAATTGTTCATTAAAAACTTTCCAAAGTTCATACATTTTTTTTAACATGAATATATACAACAATTTTCTTATCTGAATGTTGGAAAATTATAAAAAAAATGATACAGACCTTGTTTGGACACACACACACACACAACAGTTCAGTTCAAAAGCTTAAAGTCACCCCCAAAATTAGCATGGAATGAACTTGGCAGAAGAGTGAAAAAAAATGAAAAAGAGCTCTTAGAGTCTTTGAAAAAAGAATGGAATCAATTATCAAACTTATATTTTGAGAAACTTTTGCAATCAATGCTAAAAATCTGTGCTGCAATAATCCAAGTAAAAGGAAGATATTTTGATGAGAGCAAAATTTAATCATAAAATGCTTTTTTTCTTTTAGTCATAATAAAATTTCCAATAAAAGAAAAATCATGTCTCACTTTTTTTAACCATGTATAATAATTTTCTCTTATTTAAAGTAGAAAACAACTATTTTTTTGGATCAATTAAAAAAATTAACAGGGGTGAGCATCAAACTTTTGAACTGTAGTTGTGTATATAAATAATATATATTTATATATATATATATATATATTTATATATATATATATATATATATATATATCAAGACTTTTTGAATATATATATATATATATAACCTATTCTTCATATATATATATATATATAAATATTTAATTATATATACCAAATAATATATATTTAGATCTGACATTAGGTATATATTGTTTCACATTTGAAGTAGAAAACATTTACATTATTCAGAATCATTGTCAAAAGTTTGATTTGTCGCCATGTTTCTGATAAACATGGAGATAATATATATATATTTGAATAATGTAAATAGTGTGTATGTATATATATATATATATATATATATATCTTCTGTTGAAAATAAATTTTTTTACTACTGAAATCTATATATCATGAATAATAAAGTCAAACTGACTTTTCTGGCTTTTGCAATGCAGCCATTGTATCACACTCAAGTAGAAGCTGTTTCATATTACATGACTAAACAGAAAAAAACTTGTATGTTTTGTCATTAGTAAATTATATATTTTTTTTTTTTTTTAACAACCTGCCACAACTGAAATATGTCTGATTTTATTTTATTTTTTTTAATATATTATAGATTTATGATTGACTTATATGAATTATTTACATGCAAACTATTGTCCTTATCTTTTGTTGACGAATCCTATTTCAAATTCACTGTTTCTTCCCTTAATCAGATGCTTATCAATCCAGGTAATCTTCAGAGAATTGCAAACTGAACCATTTATGGGGGTAGATTGTGCACATTTCACTGTCCATGTTGAGGAGTATCTCATCTAGTAATTATTTTGTACTCTTCAGTTAATGCCCTTCCCCATTTCCACAGAACAAGAACAATCTACCTGCATAGATTGAATAAAGTATTTAATTTGATATTCCCTAAAGGTTATGCAGATTGACAGACATCTGAAGAAGGGTAAAGGGAACAATGACTGAAACCTTGTGATGAAACAATACAGACAATAGTCCACGTGTACATCATGATAACTCCTCATCCCAGAAATTCATACATTCACCTGATGAAGGTTGGAGAGCACAACGGCTGAAACATTGTGATAACAACAGCAAAGATAAGGACAATAGTCTGCATGTAAATAATGATAACTCCTTCTCTCAGAAATTCAGACAAACCCATGTGTGTTCATAGAATATAGAATTTGAAGAAAATTGTAGAAAGTTTTTAATGACAATGCATGTTGCCTTTGTTTGTTATGTTAACATCTTCAAGTCATGATGGAAGACAAAACTTTATTTTTTAGTATTGAAGCTGTTAATATCTTTTTACTAAATTGAAAAACTGACATCGATGGCTTTTTATACAAACCCCACCCACCAAAAGAAAACAAAAAAATTTCATTTTGACCTGAGGGAACCAGTCTACCATACTTCTGTGAATGATTTTTAAAGTAAGGAATATAAAAAATTCCATTTTCAGTTTCATTTCAATACCTAGGATGGCTTTATTTCAGGAAATAATTGAATGGGATCATATTGTTCCTTAATCTTCAAAAAGGAAAAACATTTCCTTTTTTTTTATATACAAAGTCTGATCAAAAGTATCATGGCTGTTGCTATAGCAATGGAGCTAAAGTATGCAGAGTGAAGCTGCTTGGCACAAATAAACTTTCAACTGTCATACATGCACACTAAGTTATATTGCTCTTGCTTACCATATTCCTCAGACCATGCCCCCTTAAGACTTTTACTCCCCTCTTTCTAAAAATCAAATCACACAAAAAAGGAACAAGATTTGAAGACATCGAGGAAATCCAAGAGAATGCAATGAGGCAGCTGTTTCCTATTCCAAAGGTGAAGTTTCAGGAATGCTTCCATTAATGGAAATGATGCTGGATAAAGTGTGTGGATTCAGAAGGGGTCTTCTTCGAAGGAGATTAAATGCTGAATTGATATGTGTTGTAGTTTTTTTTTTATAGCACCAGTCCTATATGAATTGTTTTTTTTTAAAAACCATTTGCCTATGCTCAGCAATGCACATTCTCTGTCATAGCCCAAAACCTTTTACTAGTGCATTGTGTGCCACATGTCATATGATGCTACATTCTCAGACTATTTTTGGGTTTTTTTTGAATAGGAGTTTTCCATCTAACACCATGTTGGCTGTTGACACCTATAAGAAGGTCATTTGCCTTTTGCCAACCCCTCTTCTTCTAAACTGGTTACTAACCAAGGCTATAGAGCCCAGTCTACCCTGCTATTTACCGCTTACCAATAGTGGGGGATAAGAGATGGATTCATACCTTTTCCAAAAGTATTTGTGCATAAGTGAACATAATCAACCATATTGATGCAGGTTTCATTAAATAATATAGACAAGTTTTGTCTATCTATTTTATGTAAATTCTTTTCATATCGTCTGATAAGCTTAATAACATTATCATTAAAACACTTGGAATTATAAATGTAGCCTTGTGAAAAGGCAAATTGAAATAGCCAAAGAAAAATTGAACACCCTTAACAGCAACAAACAGGACATCTACGATAAACTAAAAGATGTAATTGCCATCTTTGATATTGGCTTATGTAAGCCAAAAGCTTAGATAGGATTAAATATGTATCAATATGGTCATTTTCTTTGTCTTTTATTGATAATGTTATTAAGCTTATCAGACAATATGAAAAGAATTTACATAAATTAAATAGACAAAA